TTTGGATAAGTTAGATGCCTTATAATCCCAGATATTTTTCCTATGAATTAGAGATGATCTAACTTTGAAATGTCTACCCTCCTAAGAAAACGTAGAAATCTATACCTTTCTTCACTTAAAATAACTTTCGACCACTATAGAGTATTTTATGTCCCGAAAGCTCAGTCGTCTAGAATAATCAGCTAGGAATGTGTGAGGGACCACCAGTCAGTGTGAACAGTTTTGAGATTGCAGTGCTGCTATAGAAAATCTACCGCCTCTATACGTTCTGGTGGTGGTGGTGACGGTGATGAACTGATGATAGATAAGTTACTCACCGGGGAACAAGCAGAAGGTAGGCTCCAACGCCGAGGCAGCGGCGGCGCCGGCAGGGAAAGAGAGGCAGCAGTGGCTGAAGCTGAAGCCGTAGGGGTCCGCAAAGACGGCGGAGTCGTTGGCGGCGACCAGGAGGTGGTTGTGGCGGTGACCAACGACGTCGACGTGCCCAGCACCGGCAGCCACCCCGGAGGACGAGTCAAGCGTCCGCTGGACAGCCTGGTTGAGCTTGCGGCGGCGGTAGGCGATGGACTGCTCGCGGTACTTGCGCGCCATGATGACATGCCAGTGGTTCTTGACAGCGTTGTCGGTCCGGCCGGGGAAGAGCCGCGCGATCATGGACCACTTGTTGCCGTAGAAGCGGTGCGCCGCCATCAGCCTCTCCTCCTCCTCGTCGGAGAACGGGCGCTTGCTGATCCGCGGGTCCAGCTGGTTGAACCATCGCAGCCGACAGCTCTTCCCTGAATCTCACGCATAAAAAGTTAGACGTCATAGTGTTATGTACATGAGCTGAAGAGCACGGTGGCTTGGCCATACATACCGGATCTCCCGTCGAGCTTCTCGGCGATGAGGTTCCAGTTCTGGGGGCCGTAGAGCGCCACGAGTTCGCGTAGCTTCATGTCCTCGGCAGGACGCCAGTGGCCGCGCGCCGCATGCCTGGACTGTCCGCTACTGCTGCTCTCCTGGGGGTCGGCGGCATTGCTCCCCGCCCCGCCACCGCCGAGGTATCCCTTGTCTATAGTGGCCGTGCCGGTGGTGAGCACGGCACCCCCGCCCTTGGACGAGGAGGACGACGATGCCTGGTCGTCGTTTGCGGCCACCATGCGCACCAGCCACGGAGGACAGGCCGACGTGCTAGGCATCCCAGGACAGCCAGCGTCGACCTAATTTTTTGAACTACCTATGTAGCTACGGGGCTCCAATCGAACGAGCGGGCTAGTGATCAGTGCCTAGGCGGTTGGAAAAAAGGAAGAGGAGTAGGAGTAGAAGAGGACGCAGCAGGAAGAGGGAAAAGAGAGGGTAAATGGCAGGGAGAAGATGGGGCAGCTTGCTTTTCTTAACCCAAACCTACACGGTGCTAGAGCTCTCACAGTGTCACTCACTCGCTCACTCTAAATGCAGGAGTCGCAGCGCGAGCTTTGATTTTTTTACCGCTGGATGCGGAGCTCCTAGATGGTGAGATGAGCTAGGGATCGTCTGCGCGCGGCGGGCTGTCGCACCTGCCCGGACATGAGACGGAGGAGCCGGCGGTGGCTATGGAGGTGGGGCGCGCGCTCGTCCACTCGCTCGGAGTAAAGTCTTTCGGCTTAGGGCTGCCCGGGGTAAAAAGTTAAGAAGGTATACTTGACTGAAATGTTAAACATAATGGGCCTAGCCCATGTATAACTTCTAAAATCTCAAAGAGACCCATGTATAAACGGCAAGTGGTGATGCTAAAGTTTACTCCCATATCGATACAGTTAGTGGAGAAAGTGTTTTACCTCTTTAGAGCATCTATATCTGGACTTGGCAAATCCGGTCAACTACGTCCGCAGACGCGCAAGGGCACGCCCGCAGACGCAGCCGGACCGCCCCTCATATGTTGTGCTTGGCAGCCACATACCTCAAATCCGAGCTCTTCATGCAAATCCATGCACGTCCATCTTACACGTCAATGTCACACGTAAATAACAAATGTTGATACCGGAAATACATACTTTTTACATAAAATTTATTTGCACAACTCAAACATTAACTCTTTGGTTTTCATTATGGGTCCACATATGCTCCATAAGATCAATGAGTAGCTACGTGTGCACCTGATGATCTCGAAAATTATGATTCATTTGCAGAAATTTCATAAGCTGATTTGCATCTTGATCTTCTGGGATTTGAACTTATTCTCCAGGCTTCAAAATCATTGGTTTGGGCTACACCATCAACCTCATCCTCGACAATCATATTGTACAAAATAAAACAACATGTCATCAGCTGCCACAATGTTTCTAATTCCCATCATTGCAACTTCACAAACAATTCTCCAACAAGCTTGAAGCACTCAGAATGCCCTCTCCGCATCCTTCCTAGCTGCTTTATGCATTGTTGCAAAGCGACTCTGTTTGTTCACTTGTGGTTCAAATATGGTCTTCACAAATGCCGTCCACTAAGGATAGATACCATCGGCAATATAGTATCCGATGTTGTAGTCGAGACCGCTGACAATGTAGTTGCACGACGACGAGTCCTCATTACAAAGCCTCCTGAACACAGGATATCGTTGAAGCACATTGATGTCGTTGTGAGAACCCGACATTCCAAAGAAAGCATGCCAAATCCATAAGTCATGTGATGCCACGGCTTCCACTATGATGATGGCCTCTGTGGTGTGTTCTTGATACATTCCCCGCAAACCTTTGAGACAGTTCTTCCATTGCCTATGCATGCAATCAATTGATCTGAGCATTCCTGTTAACCCTCCGGCCTCTTCAACAGCCAACAACTTTCCTCTATCCTGCATATTTCGTTCTCTAAGATACTCTGCTCCAAACACCTACACCATGGCGCGGGAAAACCTGATAGTAGTCTTCAGACATGTTCTCTCCCCCATCCGGACCATCTCACCAACATCATCTGCGGCAGAACCAAGTGAAAGCATCCTCGGAGCAGCCGTGCATTTCTGCTTGGCAAAGAAAGAAAGTTGGTCACAACAATCCCTTGTGAGCTTGAAGTAGTCATTGTGTGCCTCCACTCCCTCCATAATGCGCAAAAACAATGGTTTGCGCATACGAAAACAACGACCAAACCATGGATCATCCTAGAAGGTCGGGTCCGGAGCAAAGTAGTCCTTGTGTGAGACCCTATCCCAATTTATCACTCTTATCCCTTTGATTGAGCCCTTGAAGTTGAGAATACACTACACCTGTCAGTCCATTTCCTCTTGCATGCTTTGAGCATGATCATGTCCACTTCTTCGTCCTTATCCGACAAACCGAAGAACTCATCTTCAATCATTTTATCATGCTCCGTCGGTCCATACTCCTCGTCCAATGAAGCATCAGATTTTCCCCATGAATAAATCACAAAAAACCGGGTGAGACAATGGGTCGAACAAACAAAGCGCAAGGGGCAACCTGATAGTTGTTGGACATACCGCGATGGCGTCCGAGCCGGCGGGAATGTCTGCGGCGGCAAGCACCGACAAGATGACTGTTGTGCCAGTGTTGGCGGCGCCGAGGCTCAGAACGACTGTCAAGCAAGGGTGGCGGCGGAGCCGCGTGACGTTCAGCGTGGAGGAGGAAGAAGAGATGAGAGAGCAAAAGGATCCGACAGGTAAAGGGGCGGATATGGTGCATTCTGTGGTAGTGTAGGCCTATTTGGTCTGATGTGGTGGGCACGCCCAGGCATCCTCATATCCTCCCTATATTTGGGCTGGATATGAGGGGCACTAGTCAGCACGGGCATTTGAGGCCATTTGAGGAACCCGCTGAGTCAAGTTTTTCTGACTGGTCAGTAATCGGGGCGTTTGCGCAGGCACTTTGGGGGGGGGGGGCAGGGGTCGTGGCTCCCGGCTATAGGTGCTCGTATATAGTGGGTTATCTCCACCACACTAGGTAATGTGTTGAGAAGACAATATGCACTCGCTCTCCTAGCCTGGACGGGCTCGAGGTAGTTGCCATTTTATTTTTTGATGTTTTGGCAGCCAAGTTGATTGTTTCTTGTTCGGCGAGTATATGACTTGGAAACCAAGTTGGTTTGAGATCATAATCGCGACACAATACAACCACTGGTACTCCTATGTATACTACTGCTTACTGGCCGCGACCAAAGACACATTGAAAACACTTAGGGTTTGCTTCATCTCGCAACTTGCATCGCCACTCTACTCTACTCCATCCTGAACGCCAGCGTTCATCGGCATGCCGAAGAGCAAGTCTCCGGAATAATTCATCCTTGCGATCATACACCGGGAGAGGACGAATCTGTTTTTTGGAACCTGAGCATGATCAGGAACGAATCCTACGGAAGTGTCATTCCAAGGCTTACGGAGGACACCACACGGGACACAAAACTGCACATAAGGTATTACAATCTGGTTTTTATTGGCCTACTCTCTTCAAGGTTGCACGTAAATTTGTTCTTTCTTGTGATGAAAGTCAAAGAATTGGTAATATTGGTAGACATCATGAAATTCGTATGAGTTATTCACTCGTTATTGAACCATTTGATGTTTGGGGATTTGATTATATGGGACCTTTTCCTTCCTCCAAAGGGTAAGCACATATTTTAGTTGTTGATTATGTCACTAAAGTTATTCCAACAAGTAGTTCTAATCACAACACATCTATTAAAATGCTTAAGGAATTTATCTTTTCAAGGTTTGGAGTCCCTAGATATTTAATGACTGATGGTGGTTCATACTTTATTCATGGTGCATTTCGTAAACTTGTTGCATCACCTTATCATCCTCAGTCTAGTGGTCAAGTTGAACTGAGTAATAGAGAAATAAAGTTAATCTTACAAAAGACCGTTAATAGATCCAGAAAGAATTGATCTAAGAAACTTGATGATGCATTATGGGCTTATAGAACTACTTAGAAAAATCCTATGGGTATGTCCCCGTATAAAATGGTCTATGGAAAAGCATGTCATTTACCTCTTGAGTTAGAACATAAAGCTTATTGGACAATTAAAGAACTTAACTATGATTTCAAACTTGCAAGTGAAATTAGGTTATTTAATATTTGTAGGATCAAAACTGTGTCTAGAGGGGGGTGATTAGACTACTTGACCAAATAAAAACCTAACCTTCTCCCAATTTTAGTTGTGGGCAGATTTTAACAATTAGCACAAGTCAAGAAATCAACCTACACATGCAATTCTAAGAGTGTAGAAGTGGAATGTAAAACATTGCATATGAAGGTAAAGGGAAGGGTTTGGAGAGTGCAAATGCAATGAAGACACGAAGATTTTTGGCGTGGTTCCGATATATGGTGCTATCGTACAATCAGGTTGATGGAGACTTCAACCCACGAAGGGTAACGGTTTCGAGAGTCCACGGATGGCTCCACCCATGAAGGGTCCATGAAGAAGCAACCTTGTCTATCCCACCATGGTAATCGCCCATGAAGGACTTGCCTCACTCGGGTAGATCTTCATGAATTAGGTGATCTCCTTGCCCTTACAAACTTCTTCGTTCAACTCCACAACTTGAAGGAGGCTCCCAAGCGACACCTAACCAATCTAGGAGACACCACTCTCCAAAAGGTAATAGATGGTGTGTTGATGAACTCCTTGCTCTTATGCTTCAAATGAGAATCTCCCCAACACTAAACTCTCTCACACAGATTTGGATATGCTGGAAAGATGATTTGACTGGAAAGCAACTTGGGGAAGGCTAGAAATCAAGATTCTTGTGGTACGATTGGTATATCTTGATCTCAACACATGAGTAGGTGGTTATCTCTCAGAAAATGCTGGAAGTGTAGGCACGTTCTGATGGCTCTCTCACATATGGAGAAGGGGGTGGAGGGGTTGATGTCGCTCGAAGCTACATCAGTATTTCCCCAAAGAGGAAGGGATGATGTAGCACATCGGCGGTAGGTATTTCCCTCAGAAAGGAAACCAAGGTTATCGAACCAGTAGGAGAACCAAGCAACAGAACGTAAACAATCCCTGCACACAGATAACAAATCCTCGTAACCCGACATGTTAAAGGGGTTGTCAATCCCTTTCGGGGTATGGCGCCTCCAGTGGCAAACGGACATGAGATAATTTTGTAGTAAATTGATAGATCGAATGCTAAATAAAATAAATAAAGAAAAATTGCAGCAAGTTATTTTTGGTTTAATAGATATGAAAATAAATGCAAGAGAAAAGTAGATCG